GAAAAAAGACAGCAAGTACCACTATGCAGCGATTAAAAGTCTGAGCCTATTGTTGTATGACCAATCCAAAAACGCCAGAAAGAAACATTTCTGCAAATGGTGCCTGCATGGGTATTCTAGCGCTGATTTATTAGAATCGCACCGGGAGGATTGCCGAGGCGTGGGAGAGACGGCAATCAGTAATCGATATGCCTCGAGAAAATAAAAACATCTTAAAATTCATCAACCACAAACATCAAATGCCCGTGCCATACATCATCTACGCCGAGAAAAACGAGCCACGAGCGACTTCGCGAGAAACCTCTACAAACTCATGAACAATTTGGTATTCGGCAAAACCATGGAAAACTTGCAAAAAAGGGTCAACGTGAAACTAGTGAGATCGAACCAGGAGGAAAAACTCAGAAAACTGATTGCCAGCCCGGCATTCAACCGAAGCAAGCTATTCGATAACGACTTGGCAGCGCTGCACATGAACAAAAGCCATATCAAACTCAACCGGCCCGTCTACGTGGCGATGAGCATTCTCGACCTCTCCAAACATCTCATGTACGATTTCTATTACAACCGACTGAAGCAACAGTACGGCGATCGATGTGAGCTGCTGTACACAGACACCGATTCCTTGTTGTTGAATATATGCACCGAGGACGTGTACGAGGACATGGCGAAACACAGCCACTTGTACGATACCAGCACTTACCCCCAAGACAACGCCCTACACAGCACGACCAATAAAAAGGTCCTCGGCAAGATGAAGGACGAATGCGCGGGCACACCCATCGCGGAATACGTCGGGTTAAGACCCAAGATGTATTCCATCCTGAAAGCCGACAACGGTGAGATCCGAAAAGGCGAAAGGTTTCAAGAAATATGTGGTGAAACAACACATCAAGCACGCCCTCTTCAAACAAGCTCTGTTCAAGAATAAAACGTTCAAACACCGAATGAATGTGCTGAGAAGCGACAAACACAACATCTATGGAATCACTCTCAACAAGACCTCCTTGTCGCCCGTGGATACCAAACGGTGGATTGCCATCGACGGCGTCACGACTTATGCGTACGGACACACGCGCATAAACCACTGATTAGACCTCAACGCGTTGGGAGTTTCCGAGACCCCCAATAAAGGAAACTCCACTCGGCAGGTCTAGTCAGTAGTTGATTTGTAGTTGCTGAAAAAATGGGTAGCCCTAGTGAAAATGAGATGAGGGTCTAGGCTGGCGAGCTCGGTTGTACATCGAATGATGTCTCTGCTCGAAAATCACTATTTTATACTAGGCGCGCTGGGAGCGGAATTACGTAGTCTGTCTTCCACATGCACTAGGCTGTTGTGTTTGGGCGTTTGAATCAAACATGGTGCTGGTGTGTTTCAGCATCCTTGCTTTTCGCTGTATTTAACAATGTTTCATTTCACTCAGTTGCTTCACTGCATGTTCCAACATGTCATTTAAAGTGCCTATTAAGCACACAAAAAGTTGCATTTACCTTAGAGTATAAATGACCTCACCACGTTTCAGTTTATATACGACTATCAAATTTTAGGGTGTTCCGTTATTTTTTGTTTGTAGTATATTTCCTTAGGATAATATAACAATAATTTTAGGGCCAAGATTGTTTTGAATATTTCGGACTTGAGATACAAATATCTAGTTCCGAATCTTAATACCATAGTATTGTTACACCAGCTAAATAACTACCGTACACTTGTTTATGGACAGACAAGTCTGTGACAAAGTCCTCCATGATCAATCTTCTAAATCAATCAGTGTGTCCTGTCATCTGTTAATACACACTGTCCATTAACTGGATGAATGGTGTGTTTTTTATCTGATCCAGCAACAGCTAATTCACAGATCGTACCTTTGGTTTACAGCAGTGACAAAGTTGAAGCAAGTCTCTTGTACTCATGCGTTGTCTACTCACTCCACACTAGGTCAAAATGCTCCCATTCAAGGGATTTGTTTCATACCTTCTCATTACAATCTGTTTTTATCATGGTAAGGGTGTGGTTTTTTCAAGCTAAATGAAAGTTCATAAAACTTTGGCAACTGCTTCTTTCAAGAAGGGTGAAACTCGGTAGTTGTAGTTCTTATAATGGGTGAGGTTTCATGTGAACTTCATAAGATAAATGTACCTGTACTGTATTGATAAGGTATGCAACGTTTGCTGGAGCAGTAACTCTTGTTTTCAAATGGAAATAATAATATTGCGGGTCCTTCATTGATTTGGAACTTTCTTTTTGAGGTTGCCAGAGGCATTAGTGGATTAAAAGGTGTCTTGAATAACACTTACACTTTTTTAAATCCATGAGTTAAGTTGGTGTATATGTGTAACTCATTTATAAATAATTAGTGGAATAGGAACTGCATTAATTTGTTATGAAGCCACCTGGAGGCACAGTTTTAGGGCTTTCAGAAAAAAAAGATGATGGGGGTTGCTTTTCTTTTTTTTATTGACACATTGATGAGGAAGAACTACATGAATGTTCAAACTAATGTCCTGTTGCACTCACATCTTGTTTATCAAAAATTGGAGAGAAATGTGTATTTAAATATGTATACAGCTTCCTAAGAGATAACGATTTACAAATTTACAATCAGGATTTATGCCAGGAGATTCCACATCAAATCAGTTAACCTATTTGTATAATTTCATAGCTAAAGTTCTTGACAAAGGAAAAGAAGATAGAACAGTCTTCTGCAACATAATGAAAGCCTTTGATAAGGTCCAGCATAGAGAAAATATTTATAAACTGAAAACTTATGGTATCCAAGGCGAACTATTAAAATGGTTTGAAAGTTATTTAGAAAATAGAGTACAACAGGTAGCAATTAACGGGTATAAATCTGACAAGAAAGCTGTACTAGCTGGAGTACCTAAGGGCTCAGTCCTTGGACCACTTCTTTTTCTGATATACATTAATGATATTGTTTGTGATATTGACAGTAACATTCGTCTCTTTGCCTATGACTCTTCATTATATGTTCTCATTGAAGATCCATCAGTTGCTCCTATCTGTCTTAAAGATGATCTCAATAAAATTTCACAATGGGCCCATTTCACCCTAATAAAACAGAAACTACTCAGTTCTCACCTAAAGCTAAATCGTCTCTACTACCGAACCTACTCATGGACAGAACAGTCATAAAAGAAGTCAAAAGTCATAAACATTTAGGACTAACACTCCAAAGCGACATGGAATGACCACACTAACGATATTGTACATATAAAAGTTTGCCCTATGATCAGTTGTCTGAGGAGTTTTAAATACATACCAATTATCATGTAAAACCTTGGATACTACACTGTATGTATAAGTCCTATATCTTGCCAATATTTGATTATTGTTCGCACATTTGGGATAACTGTACATCTGAGCAATCATGTATATTAGAAAACTTAAATCTTGATGCTCTGAGAACTATATGGGGTGCCTTTCATGGCACAAATCCTAACAAACTTTATAATGAAACCAAATCTTCAGTCCTTGCAAGATAGAAAGTACTGCCCAAAACTAACTTTTTACTTTAAAATGTACAATAATCAATTCCCAAACTGTCTCTGTGATTTGATCCCAAACTCCATTTCTGGAACTACTAGCTATAGAAATAATAGTCTATAAAATTACATGTCCAAGATATTTTTATGGATTAAACTTCTTTTTTAATTTCTCTCACGACGTTTCGAGACCATTCCAGGTCCCTTCATCAGGTCCCTTACAGTCAAACTGCCTCTTGTGCCACATCCTTTTTACCAGACACAATAAATTTATGGAATGCTCAACCAAATTCCAAAGAGCCATGAAGTCTCTCAGAATGTAAAAACCTAATTACAAATCTGAAAATATGACATAATTTGACCTCAGTTATGGCACTCGATTTTGTCAAATCGTTCACTGCCGCCTCAGGCTTGGTTGTTTGCGACCTAAATGCAGATAAGTGAGGTGAGGTGAGGTGAAATTGGGTTTAACGTCGCGCTGGAGAATATTTCGCTCATATGATGACGTGCATGCATGTGTATGTGTATGTGCGGCTGCTTGTACTAGCCCAGACTTAAGCTGGTTTATAGTGCTAGCCCACTGAGATACCATGCCGCAGTGAAGCATGAATACCCCACTCAGACACATTATACAGACTCCGAGCCGACCAGTCCTTGTTGTACCCATTAATGCCGAGTGCCAGGCAGGGACCAACAAGTACCATATTTTAACGTCTTTTTGGTCTGACGCGGTCGGGGATCGAACCCGCGACCTTCCGCTCTCCGGGCGGACGCTCTAACCACTACACCACGGAGGCAGATAAGTATAACAGACATTTAGATAGACAGTTCATGTTGCTCTTATGGATATCAGAGTAAAAACACCCTACATTATTTTACTTACAGTAACTGTACTCAGATAAGACTTAATGTATTTTTATACTATCGGTTATAACCTGGATACGGTTATGAACGGAAAAATGTACTTACTGTGAAAACTAGAAAACAGTTGAATCTGTCCATCATTTTATCATCAAGATGCAACACTTTAAATTTCCAAAGGAAAATAATCAAATTAACTAAACAACCTTCTCATAATTGATTTATACTTTTACAAATGGCTTGTAAGAAACACAAAACCGTAACTCTCTATTTATTTTTACATACAGAATATTTGTATTTGATGTAATATGTATACATATATTATTTATATAATAGTCAATATTGATGACGTCACATCCTTCATTTCATTTTGTATTATATGTTGTATGGGAGCAGTGTTACCATAAGCTGTAAAGCTTGTTCACCAATCCCAATTCATTTTCATGAACAAAAATATGTTTAAACCATATGTAAAGTGGCTACTGATTTCATGGATGGTGAGAGACATGTAAGATGTGAGAAGTAAAGTTTTAAAAAAAAACTGACTCTGTCATGGCATTTCAAGTCCACAATATGTTTATTCCAGTCCGAATTCACATGGACGAGGGAATTTATGTAATGCCTTATAACTACAGGTTCAGCAAGCAGCGGAAACCAGCAGCCCTGGCCCCGGCACTACCATTGACTTTCCTACTGGCCTACCAGTATGATCTGGCATATGGCAATAAGATGAACAGAATGAGGGGTATGTTCTGTTATGTATATATGCTACAAACAAAAAGTATGGGAACACCCTGTCCTGAAATTTGATTGTCATATATAAACTTAAATGTGGTGAGGTCATTTATACTCTTAAGGTAAATGCAACTTTTGTGTGCTTAATTAGCTGTATATCACTCTGCTGTGTTCACACCTCTTTATCTTCATTGTTTGTATCAACTGGCTTTACCTTATCCCAATTATCATTATTTTTATAACTGTTTTTATTATCAGTCTCTGATTGCTTGTATATACATGTACATCTCTGGCTTCCTGTAAATCTCTTATATATCATATGTTTTCTACATCTGTCTTTAATCACCTGAAGAAAGGGCAAAAAGTAGCCCAGAAACGTAGTGCTATACAATAAAGAAGAAGTTGCCATCCATATACTTGTCTTACATAGGCTGTTATGTTTGGGCTTTTGAATCAAACATGGTGCCGGTGTGTTTCAGCACCTTTGTTTTTCGCTGTTTTTGACAATGTTTTATTTCACTCAAATTCAACGTACATTGAATCTGTTGTTCCACTGCATGTTCCAACATGTCATTTAAAGTCCCCCTTAAGCACACAAATAGTTGCATTTACCTTAGAGTACAAATGTCCTCAACAGGTTTAAGTTTATATATGACTACTAGTATCAAATTTTTGGGTGTTCCCATACTGAGCTTTTTGTTTGTATATAGAATCTTACTACCTGATCATTAAAGTTAGTTTTTATTGTATCAGATGATAATATTTTTGTCAAATGAAGTCAAATGAGCAGATGTTGTGAAAATTTTGCATGAATGAATGATTATGACAATTCAAATACTACGCCAAAATAATAGGAAATACTTTGAATCATCAAGACACATCTTCTGATCCATCTTGCACTGGCAGATGGAAATTATATGTTCATATCTGCTAGGGAAGTTCTGGACAAAGTGACACCCACGGCATGCTGTTTGAAAAATTGGATAAAAATCCTTGCAGGATAAATACGTGAATTATCATCTTGAAAAGTGAGATGTTGCCCAATATGCTGGGCAATGGCACCGATGTGGTGAAATAATATTTTTTGATAGTACAGAGCTACAGATAACTTTTTGGGTCATTGAGTTATGTACTCGCTTGTGTTCATCTCAATTGGGTATCCTAATTTTCCTTTGAGTAACCAAATAAATTGTACTCATCTCACTCAAACTCAATTGGGTATTTTGCCATTTTCCAATAATTTAAAAATATAATAAAGTTTAAATTTGAGTGTTTTTTATTTGTATTTGATCTGTAATATGAGAAGCGATAAGAAAAACTGCAAGTTGTCAAGTTCATATCCTGAAATAGAACCTCTCAGTATACCTCAGTTATAGTATCTATCCACCGGTACACAAACTAAGATTTGACATTTTTGTGTGTACGCGTGTAAGATCACATTTATTGAGTATTTACACAAATTCAAGCGTACTTGTACGCAATAGACTTAATAGGAATTGAGTTTTCACATAAATATTTGCGTAATTTACGCAGATACGCAGCTTATCTGTACCTCTGTAGTATTGAACTTTGACTCTGCAAATTGAGTGATAATATGGCGTGCAGTTCATCCAGTCATTATGATACCGCCCCATACTATGAGAACACTCCTTGCTCTTTCTTCACCCTTTGTGAAGCTTGCCAGCCACTGTCTCCATCAGCTTTTGAGAAGTGTGCTCTGGTCATTAAAAAGAAGATGAAGATGAAGAAGAAACTGCACTCCAGAACTATTGTCAAGGTGCCTGCAGACACCCCATCCATCTATCTCTCTGGCTGTTAAACCAACATTGTTACTGAGGAACCCTTTTGGAAATTTGATAAAAGATCTAGCAGATCAAATTTCAACACTATCTCAAGAAAGGATAGATGTTCATGATCCTCCTCGTCCTCATAAGAGAGCCAGGTTGGAACCTTAGACTTGGAATGGAGAATTTTACAAATGCTTCAAAGAATCCAGATTTTTAATCTATGGACTTGAGAATGAAATCCTCAGACCACAGGTCAGCCAGATACACATTGCAGACATGGTGGATGCACTAGATGTCCTATAAGCAGAATCAATGTCACCTCTACCTGATCAAGAGGACTTTGCCACAGAAATTCAGAGGCTCCTCTCTCCAATATCAGAGCTCAGTGCCAGTTATCTCAGTCATCTTTCCACTCTGAGATCATCAAGAATGTCTTCACTTTAGAAAGGATTTCAAGGATATGCAGTTAAAATACCTGAACATTTATCCATCAAGGAAGGAGAATGTCTCCACTTTAGAAAGGATTTCAAGGATATGCAGTTAAAATACCTGAACATTTATCCATCAAGGAAGGAGAATGTCTTCACTTTAGAAAGGATTTCAAGGATATGCAGTTAAAATACCTGAACATTTATCCATCAAGGAAGGAGAATGTCTCCACTTTAGAAAGGATTTCAAGGATATGCAGTTAAAATACCTGAACATTTATCCATCAAGGAAGGAGAATGTCTTCACTTTAGAAAGGATTTCAAGGATATGCAGTTAAAATACCTGAACATTTATCCATCAAGGAAGGAGAATGTCTCCACTTTAGAAAGGATTTCAAGGATATGCAGTTAAAATACCTGAACATTTATCCATCAAGGAAGGAGAATGTCTCCACTTTAGAAAGGATTTCAAGGATATGCAGTTAAAATACCTGAACATTTATCCATCAAGGAAGGAGAATGTCTTCACTTTAGAAAGGATTTCAAGGATATGCAGTTAAAATACCTGAACATTTATCCATCAAGGAAGGAGAATGTCTCCACTTTAGAAAGGATTTCAAGGATATGCAGTTAAAATACCTGAACATTTATCCATCAAGGAAGGAGAATCACGATTTTATGCTGAAAGAGTTCATCTTATAAACAGTTTTCAGAGACTAAACTATTGATGTTTGACAGCTACCAATATGTCTTAACAAAAATATCCAAATTCCAACATTCTCAACACACTTTGAGGCAATAGATGTCACTATTGAAAATGATATCTCACATTCAAAGGTCAACTGCATCTCCAGCACTTTCAGAATTGTATAAATCATCATTGAGGCCAACAGCTAAACTCTATCACCTATAGACCTAGTGTTCAGGGACCTGTGTTCAGGGACCTTGCCTGGTGGAGGAATTCCAAAATGTCATACACAGGAAGTCTCACTTACAGGCAGGATAGCTCATCCTGGAGACATGAAGGCATCAAGCATCATTGGGAGCTACAAACACTAGTTCATATCAACATACTGGAGCATACTGAGAGCAGTGATATTAGCAATCAGGCAGTGGAAATCGATACTCAGGAATTCCATATTACTAGTTGCTTCAGACAACACCACAGTAGTGGCCTACATAAACAGATTTTGGAGGCACCCACTCTGAAGACCTTATGGGAACTTTACAATCTGGTAGACAGTCTGCAGGGCCACATAGCAGACAGATATATCTCAGGGATGGAAATATATTCTTGCAGAAGCGTTATCTCGCCCGGACAAGATTTTGTCAACAGTCAGTATTTTTGCAACCTAGAAAATAGAAACGTTTTGAGCAAATCAATTAATAAGATTGTCACGGATAACAATGATGAAATTACTGACAGCTATACTATCTTAAATAATGTAAAATATTTTAAGTTTTTTTTTACTCTTCTGGCAGGAAATACAAGGATGATACTTGTTTACAAGATGTAGTAACACCCACTTTAAGTGACCATCTTACTATGATCTAAGAGAAAAATTAGAAAAAGACATTGACATGGAAGAAATAACATTGGCAATTAAAAATATGAAAAATAACAAAAGTCTTGGAACAGATGGATTTCCAACAGATTTCCAACAATCACTTGTATTCTTATGTGAAACAAAGTGATTTTTTTTTTATTAGTTGATATCAATGTTTGAAAATAAACACTCATTTTTCTTACAATGAAAGGATAACCCGCAAAATAAGTGCTGAAATGTTATGCCATTATGAGGCCTTTCCACGCTAAACAGGCCAGAGTTACCGTCCTTTGATTATGACGGAATTGGTGCCACTTGATTTTAGACTGGTCTCCTGTCTAGTCCCAAATCAAACGATATTAATACTGAAAATAATTACGTGAAATAAGTTTGTGATAATACGAAAGAATCATAAGAAATGAAAATGTAAGGCAGCAGGATAGATTGATGGTGTGTATTTTCATTCATAACCTCACCGCAATGAAAATATCAAATATGTATAACAATGTTGACGTACATATAACATCACTATCGGGACGCGACTTTTTCAAATGACATGTTCACTATCAGGAGTACGCAGGATTTTTCGAAGGAAACTTTTGTTGTTTCAAGCCAAGTATATACATAAATGTGAGTAAGTAAATGTAAGTAGTCCGAAACATTCTGACAATCTGGTTGTTATTTTCTTTTTGTTTTCATTGTAAGCAAGGGAAAATAGTGAGAAACGAAGAGAAGTACCATGTGTCAACCATGTGTCAGTCATGGCGTCATGCTTTCAGAAACTATAATATGTTACGATGAATCTAGGAAATCATTGGAATACACCTATTTTATGTAACTATCGCTTACTACGATACCTTTCCCATGCATGTTCTAAAACAAATGAGCAAGTGTATGCAACAAGTAGGCGAATGGATACACAGTGTAAAATCTGAGATTGACTTTGTTTACATTTCAAACAAGTGGTCCTTTCCCAGCGCGGCATCTGATATATTTCGTTAGGTTTCACTGAAACAATTGGTATTGATGATAAAGTCTAATTGTCAGTTTATTTTGAACTGTATGAGGAATTCAGGGATTTGTGTAAGGAAGGTGGTGTTATGGCTGAACATTCACTTTGACGTTAATATTGTGTTTGCGTATTTTCCAAAACATTCTCGGTTCATCGACAATGTTTGAGAACGAGCATTGGTGATTCGATCAAACAACAACAACAAAAATACCAATGATCACAATGATGTTTTTTTC